GTGAGTGTGTGTGTGTGTGTGTGTGTGTGTGTGTGTGTTGAATCTGAGCCGCTGTCCATGGTGCTGAACATCATCTGAACACTAGAGCGAGCCGCTTGACTCTCAATCCTGAACACTTTCGTTTCTCATTAATTTCTTTCTCTTTTGTTTTGATCGGGGTTTGTGTTTTTTTTCATCAGGTTTTGATCTGATGTGTTGGATATGTATCTCATTATATCCCTGTGGAGACCAGATTCACCAGATGTTTGGATGATTATCAAAGTGAAATCTTTACCATATTAATATTGAAGGAAAAGTTTTCTAACTCTTAACTAGGTGGGACACTGCATTTCCATCCTCAAAAACAAAAAGTTGTGGTATATTTCTTGAGTTTTTCCACACTGTTTAAACTCAGGATACTGTTCTTTAGACAGTCTGTTTATGACAAACTGAATGGCACATTCAGCTGTATATGGGACTGACTGATGAATGAGTGCAATAAATGGGTTGCGTGAATGTACAATGTGAAACAGAAACCTGCAAATCCAATATCATGGTCTCCCATTATCACCTTATAGTCCAAACATCAAGCTACGCCCGTGATCTGATCAGATATTCAGCTCCGTGTGATCAGATCTGATTGTTTCATCTCCTGTGTTTTCAGGCTCTTCTCTGATCGTCTCTCTGGTTCTGGTTCTTCTGGTTCTAGTCATCGTTGGTCTCTTATTACTGTTTCTCTGTAAGAAGCATCAGTCTCGAGGTAAAGCTACTTCTTAATGTCTTTAGATGCAGAAACTCCATTATACTGAGTTTAAAATGCAAATATTTGTTGATCTGTTTTCCCACTTTGAGTATGTCGCCACCTACAGGCTGCAATGAGACATGAGCAAAATACAGATATTTGATGATGTGTCTTTTCCCTGGACATGTCCTCTTTTTGGACCTAAAAAAAACGCATCCGGACGGGATTTCTTAATCGCCCAAAATGTCCGGGATTCGTCAGTTTTTTTTATTCCGCTCCCACTGAATTTCTGACCATTGCCGCCTGCTCCCACAACATGTGTTTCGCTCCCGCGGTTTTCATGTCCACTCCTTTAAAAGGGTCATATCATGCGATTACAATTTTTCAGCTTCTCTTTGAAGTGTTTTGAAGTGTTTGCCAAGGGGTTTTTTTTTGTGCCCACAGAATTGGGCTACTTTTAAACTGTTGCCATGGGTTGATTTTCCCAAGTGGGTTAAAGGTTTGAAACATTGCATAAAATACATTTGACTGAAATGCCTGTATTGAAACATTTTGCATTTGACCTGTGATAAAACTTTCATGGACTATTTAATTAACTGTTCCCTCCTGGTGGAATGACCTGCCCAACTCAATCCAAGCAGTCCTTAATCATTTTCAAGAAACGTATGAAAATACATCTCTTTCATCTTCATTTGACCCTCTAACACAAGCATTATCTATTATTGTTCTGTTCTATTGACTTGTTTTATATTAATTAAAAAACGAGCCTCTAACACTAGCATTCCCTATTATTTTTCTAATATATCTACTTGTTTTCTTTTTATTTATTCTAAAAACAAAACAAGCAAACGAAAAAAAAAACAAACCTTGCTACGTATACTGTTAGGCGAAAGCCCGCTTTTGGGTTTAAGCTTCCATGTTTGGTATTTGTGTTATTTACATGGTTCTCTTCTGCTGTATATTTAAGACAGTCTTGTAAGTCAGACATGAAGGATGTTTAAATGACAGTGCAGTGTTTTGTTCTCCAAATGACACTCAAATAAATGATCAGAAACCCTTGAGTTTTTGGTCAGCCTTTGATGTAAATAAGTACTGAATATTTCAGAACAAAAGAGTGAAATTAAAACAGAATATGCAGCGGTGCTCAGTTAGTTTGGTTAATGTTAAACCACACGCCTGGCCACTAGCGGTTCTTGTAAAAAAATTGATTGAGGCTGCAGTGTTAAAAAGCTCAAACTTTAACACATGCAACAACTATTGTTCTTTTTTTTTCAGTGCTCATTTTAAAAGTTTAATAACTTAGAAAAATTAAATAAAAAAACCTAGATGAAGTCGTGATATTGTATGCAAATGTGATATGAATGGACTATGGTAAGATGAAATGATCAAAAAGCACAACTTAATTTGTTATCATGGTAAGCGCTGCTGTTTGCACGTGTCCACTAGATCTCACTTTTCATTTCTAGTATTTGAGATTCTAGTCTGAATAAAGATTGTAGATACATATTTTTGTAGAAATCTCTGAAATAATGCTTTGAACACAAAGTTGTATTTCCACATGTCCAGGAGTCTTGCATGTTCATGTGAACATGTATTATCATCACTTCTCTTTTATTATTATCTCTCTCTATCAGAGGAAGTGGGCGTCTCTTTGTCACTTTCAGCAGTTCATGTTAAACATGTAACCAGGAAAGAAACACTCAGAACTCATCTGAACACACATCGAGAGCTTCAGAAGAACTGAATCTACTAACAACTACTAGATCATTGAGTAAGAGAGAAGAATGAAGATCATCTGGACTTTCACGCTGCTGATGATTCCTGGTAAGACACTGAACTCACAGTAAATCACTCAAAACAGCACAGAGTCTTTAACTTCAGATATTTGAAAGTTCATCTCTGTTCAGTCTTATGAATACATTAGTGAATACATTGAGATGCTGGTTTATTTTGTAGGTGTCATGAGCTCCATCAGTGTGAGAGGATATTCAGGAGGAGGAGTCATCATCACATGCAGATATGATAGAAAATATACAGACAATGCAAAGTATTTTTGTAGAGGACAGAAGAAAACAACATGCTCTGACGTCATCAAGACTGATAAGAAAAATGGGGGAAAATGGGTTGATTCTGGAAGATTCTCTCTGTTTGACGACACAAGAGCAGCAGTTTTCACTGTGACCTTCAGAGATCTGAGTGAACAGGATTGTGGGACGTACCAGTGTGGAGTTGATATCTTTGGAATAATAGATCCTTGCACTGAAGTGAATCTGAGCATTAAATCAGGTGAGTAACTGAGACTCTCAAACTCATGATGATCATCAACATCACACACTCAACACTGACTGTAATTACTGCGGTTCACACGTGTAATCGTTTAAAACCAGATCATCAATAACCAGGACAAATATAATGTATTATTATCTTGCAATATCAGGTTTACACTACAATGAGTAACCACATATGAATTAATGAAGAGGCAGATACTGTGTGTGTGTGTGTGTGTGTGCGTGCGTGCGTGCGTGTGTGTGTGTGTGTTTGTGGATCTCACTGTCAGTGAATGAAGATGCATTACAGTAATGATGAAGAAGAACATAATTACACTCATATCCGAGTTTGTGTTCAACGGGTGAACAAATCAGTGCTGTGAGAGGATATTCTGGAGGAAACGTCATTATAAACTACAAATATGAGATGAATCATGAGAACCATGAGGAATACTTCTGTATAACTGGAGCAGACTTGTTTAATTCTAACATTGCTGCACTTGATTTGTCTCTCAAACAGCTGATTGTTGTGAGAAGAGCATCAGTCTCTCAGCTGCTGCAGGAGGATCTGTGAACATCAGCTGCAAATACCCACAATCCCACAGTGCTGATGTGAAGTTTGTCTGCAGGAGATCTGGATCTGATCTCTGTGCTGAAGAGACGTCTGTGGAGGAGAACAGAAGATGGAGCGCTGAGGGACAGATGCAGCTGTATGATGACAGAGAGCAGCAGCTCCTGACGGGAACCATCAGTCATGTGACTCAACAACATTCAGCTGAATACTGGTGTGGAGTTCAGTCTGATCAAGGACACAAGAGCTTCATCACTCGAGTCCTCATCAGCGTTACAGGTACGGATGGTTTTCTCACTCATATTAATCATAATGTAATTAAAAATAAAAACTTGCTTCACTGTGTGTCTTATATCATGTTGCTTGACTGTGTAAAGAAAGTTATCATGCTGTTTTGAAGAGAACTGATTCTGTTCATAGAGGTTTACCAGCAGGTTAATTTTAGATGTTCTGTTCATGTATGAGCGTTTTATTCTTCATTTCATTCTTTAAATGTCCAGTACTGCAGATCTGGACTCAAAGCTGCAGCATTAGTTGGTCATTTGGACACAGTGTTACTGTAGTTTTTAACTAGTTGAAGTGTGCTCATCTGAATGCAGTATTAGAGCAGTTTTTGTACTGCTGAGAGTCACTGAACCAGTCTTGTTCTATAATTAAAGAAGCTGCAGTTAAAGATGCTCGTCCAGTAACCTGCTATTATTCACTGAGAAACCACAGACTTCAGTTACAGAAACTCAAACAAACAGCTCGCGGTTTTGTTTTCTGAGTGTCTCTGTATCAGCAAACATGAATTCTGGGTAGTGAGTGTGTGAATGACATCAGTAACACTTATATTTACGACGAGACACGTGATGTCAAGTTCTGTGTGTGAAAAAACATCATTTAGAAAATCATTGCTTTGTTGTTTTATATACAGATGTTCCAAAAACAACTTCACCACAACCAACATCTTCATCTTCATCATCATCATCATCACCACTGTCTCTCTGAAGCTCTCTCTCTCTCTCTGTGTGTGTGTGTGTGTTTGTGTGTGTGTTCTGCAGAAGGAGATCGGTCAGTATGAAGCTCCGTTCCTGAGTCTGGCTCGAGCGTTC